AAAAGATCATTACAGCCCAATCTGAATTCAGCATCATTTTACAGCTGAGCTGAAATTGGCTGTGCCTTTCACTTTCTCAGAAGCTTGGGGATTGAATCCAGAAAACAGTTTTATAAAATCCTGTTCTATTTGCGGTCAAATTCTGCCACCGAATCTCCAGTACTGTCAGGGGAAAATTGATCCTGTGGCTAAAAGATTGCAAATGACCCAGCTTCCAATCTTAACTGTGACAAACTTTGTGTCTTGAGGCAAAATCTGATGGTCAAGATCATCTGAAGTATATTGCTGTCCATCTTCCACTGCCTTCAAACCAATGAAGATACATATAGCTTTGTGCAACAGGAAAAAGCAGGAAGGCTAGAGGATCCAGTGACTGTACACTTCACCTAATCTGCTTCTGAAAAAATAGTTTCTGAACTGCTTATCAAATAGACATTGGGTTCTTGATTATTCCTAACATTTGCATTGATCTTTTTAAATCAGGGAGACAAGCTCAGGATCTGTGCCATAAGATCCTTGTGCCTCCCTTTTCCTTCTGGAAAATAGCATTTCCCTGCTTCATAGGAGTGGTATAAAGATAAACATTTAATTCTGGCACCGCCTTAGTTTTGTTTGGTTTTTTAAACCCAAAGTTACTTTTCTTTTTGATAAGGGAAGATCTCCAGTAAGGTTTTTAAGTACACGCATCATCACATGTTGCAGATGCTGGCTGGCAATTGCAGAAGCTGGGAGGGGTCAAAAGTGTAACACAGATTTGGGAAACGTAAGGGAGGCCATAGTTCATTAACAGATTGGGTTGCCTGATTGCACAGCTTTTCTGTTTTTTGAATGGAAAATTTACTTACCTTCATCAGGCCAGTACCTCAGGAATTGTCCTGCACAAGGAGGGTTATAAATTCAGATAATATAAGGCAAACCAAATGGAGCAGATATTCCCATTACAGTAAGCCTGATTCATCCTGCCCCACACTTTATATTGTTTCCTAAAAACAAGCACTTCAGCTGAGCCATGCTGTTAAGAAACTACCTGTGTCTTTGTACATAAACAGAGGCAACAGAGGTTTCATAGGCCACAGTAGCACTGGCATTTCCTACAGTCAGCCACTCAACTTCTCAACTTTAAAAATGTGCTTTCAAAACAGGTTTAAAGGAATTATTATTTCTAAGGTGGTGGTGGGTTTTGTTTGTTTGTTTGTTTGTTTGTTTTTTTTTTCCCCCTCTAAGATGTTTAGGTATTATTTCAGCATACTGCTAAAATTTGCCTGAGGAGTACACACAAGAGAAAGGAAATGATGATTCTTAGTTAGGAGCTTACTGCTCACCTGAACCTGGATAAAATTTCATGCGGGTAAAGAAAAGTCATTTCTCTAGCCTGAGGGCTTTCTCCCTGCTGAGTTACAAAGGTCTACTGCAAATAATGGAAATGTCAGAGTTTCTCATATACTTTGCAAGGATCTTTGACAAAGTTCCCCTTACAAAACATCCTATAATTTCCTCGGAGGGAGCTGTCCACCAGAAGGTGACGTTACTCTTGGATTTATTTTGCACTTCCGTCAGGTCAGTGCTAATTCAACTTCCCTGTTTCCTTGCATCTTGCATTTATTTTAGAGCATGCTGCACAGTCCTAAGCAAACATGTGTTTTCTATGAGACCGCTCTGCTCTTCTAACCGAGTCGCTGCCATCACCACACGCTCAGAGCATCCCCTCACCAAGTAGAGCTCAGCATATTGTCCCTCCCTGCGCAACAGATAATCCTCTCACAGGGAGAAGGCTGCAGGAAGGGGAAAAAAGTGTCAGGAACATCCATACAGGTGACCTAGGGAGAGAATATCCCATCAGGAGCCCCTTGCTGAGGGAGATTTGCAGTGGGGAGAGGAAAGCACCCCCATCAGCCTCAGAGAACTTGCAAAGAAGGAGTGCTCCCTGGTTTATGGAAGAAAAAGCACGTGTCATAGCCATGGGGTCTGCTCAGTGAAGGGGAAGCAGCACAGGTCTCTTCTGGGGTCACACACACCCACACTGCCTCTTCTAGAAGGGACTGGCTGCAAGGTCCATCCCCAAAAACACTGTCTGATGGGGACAGAGACATTCTTAAAATGGAAACACGGAGGAAGCGTGCCTGTGAATCACTGTAGGCACCGGCAGAAGAAAGGGAGTTAAAAAGCAGAATCACTAACTAGCTCTTTGACAGGGATTGCCATTAAAGAGTAAACGCGGATCAGCCGCGTCAGGGCATGTGCTGCAGCCTCCGAAGGCTGCCGAGCTCACTGAGCTCAGAGCATCCTCAGGGTAGGGCAGCAGAGAGTGTGACAGACCCAGCCACCAAGTATGAATGAAAAAAATCAGACAGTTTCTGAGTTGTACTTCACACCGCAAAGCAATAGGGATGATCTTAACCCCGTGCAGTTTCAAGAAGTGACTGGTCTGACTAGAGCATTTTTCCCCAGGGAGAGAAGTACCTTAAATCCGATATTGCTGCAAGGTACATACCACCTCAGTCTGGTAATAAAACTTTCAGGCTATACTGTGCCATTACTTTTCTAGGTGGAAGGCATTTTATTAATTGTTTTTTTAAATGTCTTTTCCATTTTAAGATTATTTGGTTCCGCCCTCTCTCAGCTCATTTATATTAGTGTAAGCCAGGAGTAGCTCTAAATTAATACGATTATGCCAAATGTATATCATATCTAAATCAGACCCATTCTAGTTATGTGTTGCAGAAATCTTAGAGCAATGTCTGGTCACAAACTCATTTTTGGTTAACCATTAGCAATTACTATTAGAGATTGTTCTCAGATTCTAAATTAACGTTTTACTCAAGCAACTCCCATTAAAATAGACTAACTAACCCCTCCACAGCTCTTTCATATTTGTCCCTAACAGCCTATTCAAAACATAAAATTAAGGATGTCTGATTAGAGCAAGAAGTACATCATCCTTACAGGGGTTTTAGATAGCGCAAAGCACATTTATAATACTGTGTAGCATTAGCAGATGGGTTAAAATCACATTTTCAGACTGAACCAAATCCTCTTGAACTAATGTAGGTTACTTCTTTGAAGTGGGGGTCCTTAACAGTGTCTTCTTTAATCTCTCATGGGAGAGGGATGTATATACCTGAGCATCATCTTAGCGCTGGTGGGAGAGGGCTTAACCAACTTGATGGGAATGGCAGGTCCCCCTCACAAAGCAGTCCATAGTCTACAGCAGCATACTGGGGATACAGAAAGGGTCTGGGCAGGGAACGCACATCACTGCACTCCCATAGTGTGCAAGTTGCACACAAGACCGGCAGCTGGCACACAACATGTGTGTGGCACACTGGTCTGGGTGTTCCTCTGGCAGCGCCTTCTCTAGGGACAAAGTCCTGCCTTCAACAGAGGGTCCCAGCTCTGACCAGCCTGCAACTCACTGGGGCTGGCAGACCAGAGTCCCTGCCCAAGACACTATCTTCTTTTGCACTACTTTTGTAAAAAACAAAAACAAAACAAACCAACCAACCAACCAAAAAAAAACCCAACCCAACCAACCAAAAAAACCCAACAAAGCAAAACAAGCCCAGCTCACTCCCCACAAAAACCCCCAAGCAGGTATTTCCCACCTCCTCCTGAGCTCTGAACTCAGCAAGAGACTGGAGGAGGGAGCTGCTGTTTTTCACACTGTTAGTCATGTATTTGCCCCTCGTAGTCTGGATTTGCAGTTTAGGCTGCTCTAGACATACATTTTCCCCCAGTCTCTCTCCCAAGGCAGCGGAGGTACCTGTTGAGGGAAGCCAAGAGCCCAACTCCGCTGCAGGCTTACGGTTGGGTTCTGGCTTAGACACCAAACAGCAGAGCCTGCTTCAGGCTGAGCGGGTTTGGAGGGGGTATTTCTGGTCCTCTCCCAGGTGTTTGGGTTGTGACAGGAAAGCAAACTCACACCACATCGCGAGTGAAAGAGTGGCATCGCAGGATCACTGTTGTAACTTTACACGTGCCAGGAGCAGAGTTTCGGTGGTTTAGTGCCTACATTAGAAAGATGAAGAAACAAAGAAAAGAAAAATATTTGGCTAACTCCCCCTTCTGAACAGTTCCCCCACTGCCCACGAGGTCCCATTGCTACCAGTGAAATAACCCAGATTACCACACACCTAACTGGTTCTGAGCAAACGTCATTAGAGTTCCTTACTTCTGATGCAGTCCTCCTGTTTCAGAGAATCTGGGAGATACGGGCCAGTTGGGAAGGGGTGGGAGAGAATGATGGAAAAAAATTAAAAATAAAAGAAAAAGGGAAAAAAAAAGAGAGAAAAAAAAAAAAAAAAAAAAAGAAAAAAGATATGTTCCCTGGGGATCCAATGATAGAGTATTGAAGTTACTGGAAGGACTCCCATTGATTGCAGTGCAGTTTGGGTCAGTCTCCCTGACGCACCGTGGAGGTTCTGCAGCCCCTTGAACTCAGTATTATTTAAGTGAATCTATTAATGTTTGGCTGAGTTAAATGTATTATAATATTACATTTGAAACACAGTCACTTATAATTCAAAACTATACAGCCTGAGCACAGGGAAAAAAATCCGTGGTATATGTTCAGTAACATATTTGGTGCTGTGCAGCCGTTCTATAGAGTGCATTTAACTGTGTTTTGTGTATTATTCTTAACATGCATTCACAGTAGACAGCAAAGCAGCAGTTATGGGGTATGCTGTGAATGCATATTAACAGCAGTACACATTTGCATATCATGGATCCATAATACAAAATGCGTAGTAAAATCCTTATGAAAAGTTATTATGCATGCACAGTGGAGGCTTTTTAAACCTTGATATCTCAGCTATTTTGTTTCTCCACTATTTATTTGAAAATATTAAAAAGGTCAAATGATGGATTAAGAATCTGCAAAAATGTAATGTTACTACTACAGAGGGAATCCTTCAACACAAACTAATTCATTTATTTTGTTTTTAATAGCAATATAAAAACCATTCTTAAATGCATTTTACAATAACATTTGAATACTTTAAAAAAAAATCTACTTCAGCAATAAAAAAGGACAGAGAAAATATTTTTATAAAAGAGTATTTTGGAGGCTGGGTGATATAACTGGATTTTTTGATGGTCCTTCCTTTAACACAGAGCCACTACAATGTCAATCTCTCTTTCAATTTCTTGTAGTATTTTTAGTATGCATTGAAACAGGGTTTGGTTCCTCAGGACTTTGCATATTTAGATTATCGTGCATTGTATAATACTCTGAATATGCAAAACGCTTGAAAAGGTTGACAACCCTTAGGACCTTCCACAATATAAATCTTAATACATAAATTCCTATTGAGAATAACAAGATTCTACCCTCTCCTCTGTTACACAGATTGTAATATTTGGGATAAAGTGAAACGAATGTTATGAACAGTACAGCTCTTGCTCCTTTTGAACAGTTGCCACTTAAGTTTTAACATCTTTGTCACTTCAAATACATTTGCATTGAAAAATTAAAATTAAACAAAAAAAGACATGAGCTCCATAAAGAATGAATGACCTGAGATGTCTCAGTACTGTAAAAAAAAAAAAAAAAACAAAGTTTGGGGTGAGGGCTTTTTATTTTTTTTTTTAATGAAAAGCTCCAAAATCACTAAGCACATTCACACAGATGTACATAACACACTGTCCCCCCTCCACACACATGTTGTTCTGCTGCTGCCTTATTTTTTGTTCCCCTCTCTAATCAAAAAATGCTCAAACAGATTTAAATGAAACTTTGTGAAAACAAAATAATTGGATCAGGGCTGAGAACATTAATGCCAAGCTTGGGCCCAATGTGAATTAAAGCAGATGAGTTATAAACCCTTCAAAACCAGGATTTATAATGGAAATGCTGACACAGACCCATAACAATAGCAGCTCTGCCAGGGATTATTTTAATACTAAAAGCATACTCAGTCGCTCACTTTTTTAAACCAGAGATTACTTAGTCACTAAAAAGCAGTGATAGGCGATAATAATGAAAGCAAACTTTAAAAAAAATGTTTCTAAGATGACACATCGTTCCCTCTGTAACTCTCTTGATATCGCTTGTATGTGACACGACACTCATAAAATAAAAAAAAAAAAAGAAAAAAAAAAAAAAAAACAAAAAAAAAAACAAAACACCACAAACCCCAAACACACCAAGGTGGAGTTTGCCATAAGCTCCATGTCAAGGCTGAGCCGAGAGGCTTTGTCAGCATCATTTAACAGTTCCTTGCATGTGTAAAAGAGACAAAAGGGTTAAGGGAGGAAGAGCAGGGCGTACAGGAGAGGCAGCTGAGGGGAGAAACAAGGGCACGAAGAAAGGAGCAGCCAGGGAGGCAAATGGAATAGCAGGGGGAGATTTTTTAGGAGGAGGAAGAGTGTGTCTCCAAAGGAAATAACTCAGTTTTTAAAGAATTTTCGGGGAAGCGTTCGCAAAACAGGCCAGGCAGGCAGAGAAAATTTGGCCGAGGGGCAAACCCTGCGAGCAGCCCAAGTGACACCTGCGAGCGTGTCACCCCGGCGGGAGCTGGGGTGCCCTGGTCACCCCGCATCACACTGGGGCAGGACGGGGACCAGTCAGCCCCGCCACATGCTTCCGAAAAAAAAGGCACCGCTTGTTAAATCTTCACGTTGTATGTCCAGTTCCCCACAAACGCCTCTCTTCTGTTCGGAATGTCAAAACCCACCCAGGGCTGGGAGGGGAGGATTTCTCACAGCCGGCGGGATGTTTGCTCCTGTTATCCTGTGCTCTGGGGTGACACACTGCACTCCCCCCTCCCACCCCACCTCCCCCCCCCCCCCCCCCCCCAAAAAAAAAAACAAACAACAAAAAAAAAACCACCCCAAAAAAAACCCAAACCCCCACACCCCAAAAATCACTCCCAGCAGCTTTACACAAAAACTACTTTTTGTGGCCATGCTATGTGTTATAGCACCGGCATTACTTCCCCATTCTTGCCTTCCCTTTTTTTTTTTTTTTTTTTTTTTTTCTCCTCCCTGGGTACCAGGTGCACCGGAGGGACTCGGATCAATACAAGACAGCACTTTTCGTATAAACAATACCGTATTAACAACCACAGGGCAGCCGTACCTGTAGGCAGGGATAGCACCAAATGTTGGCACGTCTATCCGTGCAGCTAGGCTGCTAAAAAGAAGCAGCTCCAGTGGAAATGCACCTACTGTATGTGAAATGCTGGTGCAGATTTTTTTTTTTTTTTTTTTTTTTTTTCTATCAGTCTAACCTTCTGTGTTGATACATGAATGCTGGTACCCACTTAGAGGGATGCCAGATGATCAGTGCAGAATGAAGGTCCCAGGAGAAAGGCTCACGTGGTTTTCTCTGCCCCGTGACGTCACTAGCAGATGGCATGGGTACCAGCTCTGGCAGTTGGCATCAATGTCACTTTTTAGAGATCAATGAGATAGTGCAGATATACACAGATCTAGACTCCAGGAGACGATGCGACACTCAGACTGAAAAGATTTGGAAGGCAAAAAATGAAAACTGATTGTTGAATGAAATAAAAAGCTAAGGTAATACAAATAAAGATATATTTCAGTTGGTGCTGGGTGTGCATGCAAGTGTTTAAAGATACAGTATCATTGTCTTGTATTTTATGTATGCTATTTATTGTCTAATAACTCCTCCTAACATTTTATTCTTCTGATGCAATTGCATACTTTCATTGGTGTTATGTAATATTGCAAGTGTGTAGACAATACTAATAGAGTTAGTCTTTGACTGGGGTTTTTGTTTAGTTTTGTTCTATTAAAAAAAGTCCCTGCATTTGTTTTGTTTGTCTCTTTGAGGACCGTGGGATCCAAGCTTTTGCTGCTCCCAAACTGCAAGCAAAAGCAAAATAATTGGGAAAAGGAAATTATTTTCCCATTCCAGGCTGGATTCTGAGCACACGTGCAGGGCTGCAGTCAGAATCTACAGACCGCTCCTGTCAGCTACGAGCTGGAGGGAGACGTCTGAGCCTCGCAGAACATAAACACTGCTATAGCGTGCAGGGAATTTTTCACCTCCCCCCCACCACAATTGATGGGGAAGAAAAAAAAAAAAAAAAGGAAAAGGAGGAAAGAAAAATAGAAAAAGCAAATAAGTTGATTGTAACTAAACAGATAATATCAATTAGAATTTTTGCTGAGAAAAGAGAAAAAAAAAAAAAAAAAAAGGAAAAAAAAGGTAGGGGGATTTTATTTCCTGACTCTAATCTGAATATATTTAGGCTTAGATCATTCTGATTTCTGTCTTAATATGAAATAAGTAATATGTGATTTTCATACAAATCATTAGACAAAAAAAATTATTCATTTTTAAGTGTTACTGAGTGATCGGGGGGGTGGGGGGGAGGATGATCCATTAATTTTTTTTCTCACCCACTCTAACTTACTAGAGTTTAATATCTTGATTCATAAGGGAAGAAATGTGGATGGGAAAAAAATCCAACTTTGAAATATAAGTCAAAAAGTGATTTAAAAATATTTAACCATCAGTTAATAGAGATATGGCACTTTTCAATTTTAAATCTGCTCTCACTCTCCTCATTTTTCCACCCAGGGGAATTTGGATTAATGAAATTTCTGTATTGCTTTATCATGTTTTGCATTTCTTTGAATTCCATGGTGGCAAGGGTTCGAAGGGCTTGTTTAAAAATAAGATAAATGAGCAGGGAGCTAATTGTACATTTTAAATATTGATTTACTCTATACTTATCTGTGAGAAACGTGGCTTTTTAGTTTCAAGATCCTGAATATTTTGAGTTATTTTAAAATTCTGGGCAGCTTTTTTTTTTTTTTTTAATGAGCATTTGCAACTGGCATTTTATGCTAAAAATGTAGATTGTGCATTTATATATATATATATACACACACACAGACACTCATACACAGAGCATGCACGCAGACACATGAAAGGTGGATGAGGATGTGTGTGTAAGTCGGCAAACTTTAAAAATGGAAATATTTAAATATTGTGCTGGCATTCTTTCAGGTAACTTAAGATTATAGAACCATGTTAACACTACCGTTTGATGAGTCTGTTGTAATGCCAGAATCCCAGATGTGCAGAAAGTTTTCCAGAGAAAGTGATGACCAAAAGCAAATGAAGAACCCAGAAAGCTTTTCGAAGCAGATTGTGCTCCGAGGAAAGAATATTAAAAGATCTCCTGGAGAAGACACAGAAAAAGAGGAGGAGGAGGAAGAGAGAGAAGAGGAGGATGAGAATGGCTTGCCTAGGCGAAGGGGCCTCCGGAAAAAAAAGACGAGCAAGATAAGGATGGAAAGGATCAAATTCAGGCGACAAGAAGCCAACGCTAGAGAGAGGAACCGGATGCACGGCCTTAACGACGCCCTGGACAATTTAAGGAAAGTGGTCCCTTGTTACTCTAAAACACAAAAACTGTCCAAAATAGAAACTCTAAGACTAGCCAAGAACTACATTTGGGCTCTTTCTGAAATCCTGCGAATTGGCAAGAGACCCGACCTGCTCACCTTCGTCCAAAACTTGTGCAAGGGTCTGTCCCAGCCAACTACAAACTTGGTGGCGGGATGCCTGCAGCTGAATGCCAGAAGTTTCCTGATGGGCCAGGCGGGCGAAGGCGCCCATCACACCCGCTCGCCCTACTCCACCTTCTACCCCCCCTACCACAGCCCCGAGCTCGGCACCCCCCCGGGGCACGGGACTCTCGACAACTCCAAGTCCATGAAACCTTACAATTACTGCAGCGCTTACGAGTCCTTCTATGAAAGCACTTCCCCTGAGTGCGCCAGCCCACAGTTTGAAGGTCCCTTAAGTCCTCCCCCAATTAACTATAATGGGATATTTTCCCTGAAGCAAGAAGAAAGCTTGGACTATGGCAAAAATTACAATTACGGCATGCATTACTGTGCAGTGCCACCCAGGGGTCCCCTTGGGCAGAGCTCTATGTTCAGGTTGCCTACAGAGAGCCACTTCCCTTACGACTTACATCTGCGCAGCCAGTCTCTCACCATGCAAGATGAATTAAATGCAGTTTTTCATAATTAATGAGGAAAATGAAAATAAACAGTGGTCATTCACCTCCCCATCTAATTAAGAGCAAGCAGATGCTTGGGCACTGCGTAATTGGCACAACTCTATTTAACGTGTTTACTAGTTCCTAAAGTGTGTTTCAACTATTGTGGGGATTTTCTATGTATTAATAAACCCTTTTTCCGATAAGTATTTTTCCTTTCGTTTTTTTGTCTGTAAACACTGTGAGATTCTGTTTCCTCTCAGAGGTTATTTCCCCCCTCCTTTTTTTTTCTTTTTATTTCCCTATTTGCTTGATTTGTTGAGCAGTGTGTCTGAATAATATCGCCGAAATAAAATCGTACACACTGTGTAAAGTCAATGTCTATTTTGATTGTACAGTAATTATACAAATGCATGTTATTGAAATCAGATTAATAAAAATGATGTATTTATAATTGGTAGAAAATATATATTATGTATTTGAGGAGGAGAACTGGATTAAAAATATTCAGAACTTTAAAAGAAATTATCTCAGAACTGAGATGGGCTTGCAATATGCAGAGGTGAGAGTGCAGCAATATTGAAAGCTATGCAAAAAAAAAAAAAGCAAACAAAAAAAAAACCAAACAGTTTTTTGGGTTGTTGTTTTTGGGTAAGCTAAGGAAAACCAGTGATTGTCACTGACATCATTCAGCCTGACCTTTAGAGTGTTGCTGTCAGGGGCCACATGCTAATATTTTAGAAGATGTTGTCGAAATTTTGCCTCAGTTATTTTGACCATATATAATCAGCACTTTTTTTTGTATTATTCTGACTTCAGATGTAAAGGTTTGTTATAACAATGTATAACTGTGGTTTCTCACTACGTACTTTAAATGCAATTAAAGATAGATGTTTCCACTTTTAAAATACATCTATTAGCTGTGATACTGTATTTTGCCTGATACTTATTATTTCACAGTATACAGCTGCCTTTGGTCTTGCCTACACAGCTTTCTTCCCCACACCCCTGTAGTGCTTGAGCCTGGGGATGGAAATCATGAATTATCAGAGCGAACCTCGCGCTATTTTCAGAAGGATGTATTAGCGACGCAGCAAAAGCAGACCCAAAATATCACAGAAACAGCTGTGCACTAAATGAAACACAGGTTAGAGGAAGAAGGTAACTTTATAGCTCAGTGAAACAGCGAATTTCATACGGGAAAGGGCTCTGAGCAGACACGCAGGCCACTAGCTGCCCCTCCAGCTCTGGCTCACGGAGGGGTGCAGAGCAGGGGAAGCATGAAAACTGCAGAGAGGAGGACTCCCTGAACATTGCTAAACTTAGTCTTGGCCAATAAACAACACCAGCAAACTACAGATGTGTCTGCAACCCACATTAGCTCAGCAGCTACAGGGGTCTGCACCACAGCTCCTCGCACCTTAACAGAGCTGAGCTCAGCTGAGCCTTGGCCGTTTTCTAGCTGCTCAGAGCTATTTCTCAATAAGCTACCTGAGTGACAGAACGAATGAGCAGCTGAGCTAAAAGCCAACAGCCTTTAAGGCTGTGAGTAAGCAATACCTCTTGATTTTGAGGGATAAACAGCAGTTACCTGACAAGCATCCACTCGAAGTACCAAAATGCTATGCTGTGAATGAGCAGGGAATAATTAAAAAAAAAAAAATCCAAATCAACCAAACAAAAAACTACCTATAAAGTGCAAATTCCACATGCAAGTTAGAGGTCCCTGGATGAATCACGGTCTGGGTCGCTGCGTGTTGATGACACGCCAACCTCAGACCCTCACTTGAGTATGCAGCTCGACAAAGAGGGGACGGGCCAATTTTTCCTGATAATTTGCCTAACTTCACAAGCGGGACTTGCTGTAAACAGTCTGCCCCGTCAAGCATTGCAGCTGCTTCGGGACAACAGCAGCCTGACATTCATCTCTTCTAAATAAGACCAGGCTACCCCAACTGCTGGGGAGGGCTAACAAATCCCAGAGTTTGGATCAGAGTGTAAATGCTTCCAAGTTTGCAGAATGAAGGGTGGTAGACATGGGGTTTTGCTTGACCAACATCCTCTCTAGACAGAAATATCAGGCCCAAAATAGAGCCTTTTGAAGCAAAGCCTTGAGCCATGGTTCAGGGGGTTTGGCTCAGGATTATCCCGCCTTTCATCAGGGTCAGGATCTGTGGAAGATACAGGCAGCCGTTTTCTGCCTTGGATGAAGGATGATGGTGATGACTGTCAGCTCAACAGCATCCCCAGGTGTTTTGTGCCAAATATAGGAGGGGTTTGGGAAAAGAGAAGAGGTTAAAATAGATTGCTTCTGCTGTTATTCAGAATTCGCTGATATTTAACAAAGCATGGAAAGGTGACAGGAGAGAGCAGAAGGGGGAAGAAGCCAGTTAAGGAGAAGAAATCTTCTTTTCCTGACACAGATTCACACAAAGAGACACTGAGGTATATTAATATATCACAGGGAGCTATAGGCAAATGGGCCGAGAAACAGAGGATCCTTTGAAGCAGGGAGGGGCAGGGGGAGATGCCATCCCACTGAGCAGTGGCAGCAAACTTATCTAACCAAGTTTTGCAGGAGGAACCTCCTCTCAGAGGCTGAAAGTTCGGCGGGCACCTCAGAGCAGCGTTGCTGCACCGGGGAAGGGTGCGTTTGCATCAGTTGTGAGCAAAGCGAGGAGGCAGCTGTAAAGTCCCGCACCAAGGGAAGGAAACGCCTGCCGCGATACATTCAGCAGGCACCCGAGGGGTGTTAAGGCTCCAGGCTCTGCAATCTGGGGGTCTCCAGCTCTGTGGCCCTATATTAACTCAATAACTCATGGGCCAGTTCCAGTTTCCCCTTCTGGCAGCAGAAGCAAAGGGAAAGGGGAAAAAAAAAAAAAGAAAAAAAAAAAAAATCCCTGCCAGTTCAGATCTTTCTCGCTCACTCCACGACAGATGGGGAGGCAATTCGCAGCCAGATTCCCCCTCTGGTAGCTCAAGGCGGGCACCACGCTTGCTCAGGGCATTGCAAATTGGAAAGCCAGTCCAGAATAAATAATGGAGCAAGTCATAGAAAAATATTGAGATAGAATAAAAACCCCTGACATTCCCTGTCTGGGAGGGTATGGATTATTTAGAGATATGGAGGTAGGGGATCCCCTTGAGAGCAGGCTCTCTCACATACCTTCTCTTTCAGGCACACGACAAACATTTCTGTGCTCCTTCATCGGCCAGTCACAGAACATAAGGTGCTCCGAGCTCTGATGTGATTTATAAAAGCTTTTGAAGTCACCTTATTTTAGGAGACAAATCTGAGCGTTGAGAAAGTTCTGGTGCTTTAAACTCACAGGAGCAAAAACCAGTGGGTTTCTTTACCCATAATCTTCACTTTATAAGGTTTGTCTCCTTTCAGCCTCATTCATACAGCAAAACAAAGCTGCTCATTTCTGCCTGCCTTGTTCTCCTCTTAACTGCCTTCACTTCCTTGAGGATAGAAATATGTAAAATAGCAACTGCTCCAGAAAAATTAGGTGAGAAGTTTCTATTCTCCCCTGTCCTCTAGCACAAGAGTAATGAAGCCTTCTGTCAATTTTAGAGGTGGGAACCCCAAAGCTGGCAGAAGAAAAGCTATTTCATACGTGGTTTTATTACACAGTGGAACTCTTTGCCATTTATTATTTCCCAGAGTAACATTTTAGTGTGATTTTTAAAAAGCACTGTATGTTTTTATGGTATCAGAAATACACTAATTATTTAAGAATGGCTGTACTGGTTCAGATTAAACATCCATCTAACCTAATATCCTGTTTCCAACGTGAGGGCATAAAAAAAAAACGATGTCCAAAGATGTCAGAACAGCGTGAGGAAAATAAATATTTGTTTTACTAATAAAAATGCTGGAAAAGAAACTAAACATCATGTTCCAGGATTTCAGCCAGCCCTGTTGAAGACAGGGATGCGCCTGAATTGGAAAAAGGGGTGGGAGGCATGACGACGTACTTCAGGGTTTGCACCCTTTCCTCTGCAACACTGGGCTCACCAGTAGTTGCCAGCTAGGATGGACTGGGTAACACTGGGCTGTACCTCTGAACTTCATCTAAAAAAACCACCTCATCACGAGTAAAATTTAAAACCAGTGGCCCCAGCCCTGCAGTCCTACAAACCCCAGTGCGAGCGCAAAAAGAGAGGGAGGGGTAACCACTGCTTTGCCAGAGCTCAGAGGAGATCTCAAAGCTCCTCTGTATTACAGTAGGAATATGCTCATTTTAGGACACATCTTGGCTGTTCTCCCTTTGGGACTGTCTGCATTCTTTCACTTCATAGCTATCTGCACAAAGATTTTTAAAATGTATGGAGATTGCACAGGCACAAACGTGATGGCAGGTTTTTTCTAGACTAGCAATTCCCTTTCCCATTTTTACCCCTACTTTACTCTTCTCTTCTCCCCTTTGCCTGTAGGGCTCTCAAATGGCAGCAAATTAAGTGAAATGCCATCAATAAAGATGAATGAAATCCCAGTGAAACACATGGCAGAATCTTTCTTTGCAAAAGCAAATAATACTTGCCTAATTTTAAAAGTAGCTACGTGGTTTTGTTTCTCAGATTGTGAATCGATCTTAACTCAAGCCTATGGTTATATTTTATAGTCCATACCCAAGGTCAAAGCAGGTTTAATCCTGGTACCAAAATCCTACAGCTTTTGATGTACAAGTGGCAGAGATGGTACTGCTTCAGGCCGAATTGTCATGAAAGCACCTCTCCTTATAAAATTTCAGCAATTTTCAGATTAAAAGCAAAACCAACCAACCAAACAACCAAACAAAAAAACACACAACCCCCCCCCCCCCTGAAAATATACAAAATCCCGCCCCTCGGTAATCTGTCTGTGGGTCTGACCCAGAGCTGAACCATGGCAGCAGGTTGTGATTTTGCTCTGGAGAGACACAGATCAGCGTGGCGAGCAGCTGGCACCACGCCACCACAGAATCTCAAGGGCAGACCTGCCGTGTCTCGCTGATACACATCTAACCACCATACACGGGGCTGCCATGTGGAATCGCACTCCCAAGCCCTCTCCACCACGCAACCAGACCTGAGCAAGTCGCCTCGCGAGATTCTGGCATGTTATGCCCAGAGGATGGACTGTTTTCTTGCAGAGCCTTCCCCCTTACCCCAGAGGATGTGTAAGAACGAGCTAAGAAAACGGGAAGGAAAGCCAAATTCACAGGCAAAAGAGCTCTGGGGAAAAAAAAAAAAAAAAAAAAAATTCTTTTTTTTTTTAACACCTGCAATGTGGCGTCCCTATGACTCGCAACTGCCTTTGAATTGGCATCACCCACAAAGGTTGTTACAGAGTTAGAAAGAGGTTTCCTCTCCCTTCTCCCTCAAAACACTGTTTTTTCTTGGCTGTTTTCCTTTGTCACTAGTGCCTTAGACTTCCACATTTACCTCTGTAACTGCGCTACTTGCACTATTTAATTCTAGGACGCTGTGTGTGTATAACATACCATACAGAAATAAAATAAGATCTAGCTGTAGCTTAAATTCTGGGCTACTTCAGGAGGTTAAGAAAAATAATAAAATCAGAACAGAAAAGCAACATTTATGATTTACCATTTTTCTAGGTTATTCAGCGTATCCCCATCTCCACCCCAACCTAATGAACATTGTACTTTCTGATATTCTCCGGTATTTTTTTGCATTTTTGTAGAGCATTACTAATCAGTTTTTGGGGGTTTTTTCCACTTTTTTTTTTTTTTTTGATTGGTGTTGATTAATATGTGAAATAGTATTTTTCAAACTGATGAAATTTCCTGGCCTATAAGTATAGCCACACATAAAAGGTTATAAATTCTTAACTGCTTGCACATTCTGTTTGCAAATTAAAATTATAATAATCAACTGAACTGGAGGTCCTTGTACAGACAGGGAATCCAGGCTAAATCAGA